TTGGTGTTTGCAGACACAATAAAAAGAAATTCGGTTCCTAGACGAGTAAATCAAATACTGAAGAGGCTCTATCGACGCGAGTAACGTCATAATTCCTAGAAACTGATTCGTCTATTCAACCACCTCGAATAGACGTATCAGTTTCTAGGAACTATGACGTTACTTACACTTACACGAAAACGGATAGTGGCTATTTTCGTTTGGAATAAAAGAGCATTATATAATCCTTATGTAAGTGAGCATTTGTGGCGAAAATAACCATTAAAGTGCCCCATATTTTGAATAGAGCAGGGTTGTCATAATGATGGCCCACTCTAGAGTTCCGGACACTCAGAAGAGCATGAATTTTCTGAGAGTGTTACATCTTTTCAAACTTCAGCACTTTCTTTTTCTATGAATTTTAGTATAACTGTAACTATCCGTCTTGTTAACAAAATATCTGTTACACTACTGAAATTTTTAGAGATTAATCAAAAAACTAACAGAAACATGTAGAACATAATCAAAAAGAAAAATGATAAAGAGGTATCGAAAGCAGTGGGAGCGGAACGAGCCAATCATTTCACTTCCAGCCATTTATGTTTGAACTGAGAGTTCTTTTAATATAAACAAAAATAGCCACAGACAGCGAAGGACAAAGTCCTGACGCTTCAATTCCGTACCAACTTCTGAACTGGGTGGGATTGTTCATAGATTTCAATTCATAGATGATTTCATTCTTTTCAATTTCGTTGTAATATATCCACTTCTGAATGAACAGGTGCAGCTGAAGTGTGCCATCACCATAACCGACATCTTCATCACATTATATGAATGTACGAGAGAAGTTATCCACGTTCACGATCTCATTAGTTGCCACTGCGTTGGTTTTCCTTCCAGTAAATGTCGCCATTCATGGAAAGTACTGCTTATCGAATTTGGCTTTTCTCCTTAGTGCATCGATTAGTTCGATTATTCCTCAAGGTGTTGGCAAAAGTTCTAAGGAAGTACATTTCTGAATTTCAGGAGGGAGGGAGTCAGAATGAACTTCAACTAAAACACGGTAAGCTAAGTCGAGTAGAACAGTCTGATTGATACCTATTTAAATTGATACAGAGAAGTGCGAGGTTGATAGAAGTCTTTTGGAAAGAGCGAAGAGAGCATATGAAACCAAAAGGGTGAGACACTATGGTAAGTTGAAAATATTCATAGNGTGAGCCATAATGACGAACACTCGAAAGCATGAGAAGCGTAACTCTGAAAAGCATTTGAAACTTATTTCATAACCTAGCTGCGATAGAATGAACAAACACGTTTTTCGCTTCTCTCGAATCGTGGGAAGCTTCTCTACTCTGAGTCCTTTTTCATGTGCTCGAGGAAAGGGTTCTTCAGCGAATCATCGAAGTTTTTCTGCTAAGATTTTCCTTTCGAATAGCAGNTGTTGGCAAAAGTTCTAAGGAAGTACATTTCTGAATTTCAGGAGGGAGGGAGTCAGAATGAACTTCAACTAAAACACGGTAAGCTAAGTCGAGTAGAACAGTCTGATTGATACCTATTTAAATTGATACAGAGAAGTGCGAGGTTGATAGAAGTCTTTTGGAAAGAGCGAAGAGAGCATATGAAACCAAAAGGGTGAGACACTATGGTAAGTTGAAAATATTCATAGCGTGAGCCATAATGACGAACACTCGAAAGCATGAGAAGCGAAACTCTGAAAAGCATTTGAAACTTATTTCATAATCTAGCTGCGATAGAATGAACAAACACGTTTTTCGCTTCTCTCGAATCGTGGAAAGCTTCTCTACTCTGAATCCTTTTTTGTGTGCATGAGGAAAGGGTTCTTCACCGAATCATCGAAGTTTTTCTGCTAAGATTTTCCTTTCGAATAGCAGATTATCTTTGCGTACCAAGCTCATGAAATCAATATCTTCAAGAGGTTGGGAGAAAGTCTAAGGAAAGGTTGTGAAATGACATTTAGTCACTTCTTTATGTATGTCCTCCCCTAACAAACGAATAGGAGACTTTGTAGCAGACTTCACGACATAAACTCAAACTTTTGTTAAAAGCACATCAATTTTACGATCTCGATCAGCTCTGCAGATTTTGGTCTTTGACACCATAATGCTCGAGGGTGATGCAGTGTGATTTATCAGTCCACCAGTTGGCTATACACGCTAACGCGTGCACCATGACATGCCCACAACCGCTCACCTACGACTTGTTAGGGAACCAATATAAACAGTATCGGTTGACTTCCCATTTCACAACTGCTTCCTCATCGCGCTCACGTGACATCGCCTGCTTTCAGACTTCGACGTCCGTCCGTCCCGTGTGTGCTGCGACAACCCATCTCACGTGCGAGCGCTGTCAACACCTGTCTAGCGCCGCCGTCACAGCACTAGGCGACCGTCGTCAAAGCACGCACGCGACGGACGGACAGACATCGAAGTCTGGAAGCAGCCTTTCACGCTCTTCGTCGTGCCTACGTGACTTTCGGAAGGACGCACAAACCAACCACCAAACAGACACACAAAGTTATCACTTTATAATAGAGAGATACTACAGAGGAACGCGGTCTGGTCACTGCGCAGTCGAGTTTTGATTTCGCTATTTTCAGCTCTTGTTTCTTTGGGGCTTTTCTTGAGAATAAAACATGCTGAACCAATGTGATCGTTGATGGTGTCTTTATTTTTAACTGTGTATTTCACGGCTGTTTTGTGTTTTTCACTTTCAAAAACAGCATGGGCCAACCGTGTGCACTCGAAAGTATATATTCAAGCAACTTCTTGGCCAAACTCTTCAACTAATCAAGTAAGCATTTGAGTCCTACAATTTTCGTGGAAGACAAAGAAACTCTACGGAGTTGTTATAGAAGATCACCTTCTGCGTGAAAACTTGCCGCACACTGGATACTTGTGTTTTGCATTGGACAATTTAACGGAAACTATCTGACTCAGTTCCATCTTCAAAGGTACACGACTTTTTAGAAGGAGACTTATTGGCTTCACGGTAAGCAACCTCTTCTCCGATTTGCTTTTCACATCTTAAAGGCACTGTTCGCGATAATTCAATGGGCGGGCACGTCAATGACGTGTCCGCCTCTCATTCGACGCCACGTCAGACTGTCAGACGTGACTTCGAAAGAGAGTCGGACACGTCAATCGCGAACAGTGCCTTTAAGGCATGTAATAAGCATGGCCTACCATGTCGAACGTGGACAACAAGTAGTAACAAATGATTCTGATGATAATGGTTGTTAAGTATTGATAGCAGTTGCTATATTAGATTCCTTAGTCATCCCTCCCAGCTACCCAAGATACCGTCCAAGACCCTTCTTACAACCCGCAAACTCGTGCTTCCCCAAGAAACTTACATCGGTCTTGATAATTCTGCTGATCCCCACTCAGAGTGCGAAAAACGGTGGGATACTAGGGGCTTACGGTGTCACACATTCACGGGACGTTGAAATCCCTCTAATGGACATTCTATAGGTGCTAGGCATGCAGCATACTATGACCTGAAGCAAGACAGATGAAGAGAAGACGTGGAACTAGGGTAAATTTATTCATTTTAGCTATTACTCCTGAAGAAAATGCGTTCTTATCAAGCTTTCCCACCATTGCACTTCTAGTTTCATAAGCTATATATGGAGCGGAGACTTTTTGCGTCTGTTTTATGTCGGTTTATGTGTCCGTACGCAGAAAGTCATGTAGACACGATGAGGATTGGGAAAAGGTCGTCAGGGGTGCATACTAGTATGGGTAAGGAACATGTTACGAAATAGAAAGTCTATTCTATACTTTTCTCACCAACTGATACGGAACACTTGGTGTTTTACATGCCTTAGCGTGCGCAGCTCAACTGGTAATTTGGAGGCACAGTTCACGATAATTTTGAGGTACCTTTTCAACTTTGAAAGCGAAAGTGTTGATGTAGAGGAGTACATCGGTAGCGAACAAAGCAAAAAAATCCGCCATCTTCAAGGTGTTTTGAAAGTAGTGGAAGGGAGGTTGACGAGATCACCGTGACGAGAACGGCATGCGAGGAGTGTTTGGACGAGATTTAACTTGCTTCCATTGCTCAAAGAGATGACTATATCAAGCCGAAATTGTCCGAAACTGCCTTTCACTGCCGCCATGGGCTATGGCAAGTTGTTTGAACTCCCTACATGGAAATCCCTGAGATAGTGCAGCCTCTACAGAGCCGTTGAAACTCGGCCACTGTGGGTGTGGCATTTACACGATACAATCTCCATCCCCTTCTTGTGCTCTATCCAGGACGTTTTCCAATCATATAATGGTATTTATGGTGTAAGGGGAGCCTCGAATTCATGCCATAAGGAAATCTCAGAAACCATTTTTACGGTGGACTGTACCTTTAATGTAGCGCCGAACTCATTGTTTTCTTCGTCTTTTTACTATTCTTTGGAGAGCGTAGTTGTTCAAAAGAACATACCATTCGACGGTGCAAGTATTTTCAACAGTTTACTTGCTTTCAACGTTTGATTTTTGAGTTTTACCAATTTTTGTCTAGTCCAGCCGATGCCATTGCATCCCTGTCAATCAATGTTGATTGTGGTTCGAATTTTTAAGCATTATCAACAATAAGGAATTGGAATTAGCTGCTAAAAATCGATCTCATCCAGGTAAAGTACGTGACGTGAAGCGCACTTCAAAAGTTGACACTTTCTGCACTCATTCATTTATACTTCCATTCGCAATATTCCTCAAAGTTATCTATTGCTAGTAAAAAATGTGTGATGCATATATATGCATATATATATCAAATCCTTCGTGTGAACAGCATATAAATCAACAAATTTCTACGAATAACAATCACAAGAGGGATGTAAGTTTTATCAGCTCGAACAGTATGGCGGAGAAAAGAGGCGGACTCTTCACTATTTGATGGATTCACGCTGATTTTCGGGCCATTTTCCAAAAATCGAAGATGAGAATGTTTAACTGATGGAAACATCCCGTGACCAAATGCCTTTTTACGGAATGATTGTGAATGCCGTTCTAGACCGATGTTAACTTCTGTGCTGCGCGTGCCTCTGCGGCTTGTCGATCCTTCTTCTGTTTAATGTAGACTTCGAGATCCTAAAGAAGAGACTTTCAGTTCTTGAGGGAACGTGGATTTTCAGAAAACTTTTTTTTCTTTAGTGTCAGTATTTCCCGGTTGAGTGGTTTCGTGATTTGTTGGTCAGCTGTCAGAGAGCCCAACGTGATATTATCGTCCCCAACAATGTCTTTCTTATCGTTTCCACAATGTCTTTTGCAGTTTGCCCAGGTAAAAGTTGCACTTGAAGGTATTCCATGAACGTACATATAAAGGTGATTGGCTGTTCAAAATACGCTAACCTTTTCTCGCTGAGCTACTAAGTTGTCGATAGCGGGTTCTCGGAACAACTGCTGGTCATCAGTGGATTTGTCCGTTATGTCACGATCCTGAAATGTTTCTAGGATCAACATCAGGAATTAGGAAATCAAAGGTGCAGAAGAATGAGCATGAGGATTACAAAGCGCTTCAAACCTTCTGCTCAAAGTGGTCGCAAAAAGCGTTTTTCCACAGATTGATTGGTTGTCCAGCTCGAGAAAAAGAAGCGGTATCAATCGGTGGTGGTCCGATTGACTGAAATCCAACATTGCTTCTGATCGACTTGTGCTAACGGTGAACGTACCTCGAAAGTATCCATCCCACAGACGATGTAGATTGGTTTATTGTGGTCGTCGATTTTCCCTTTGAAAATGGAAGTACCGAAAGCCAAATGACTGAACCAACTTCTTCCTATTTTCACCAGTTGCTCATTGTAACACGAATAAAACTGGAATTCTTTCAATAGCTGCAATTTCACAAAAGACTATGGACCCATATCGTGGAACTAAGAAAGAACCATCAACTTAAGTGACTACAGACAACCCTTGACTGACGTCGACCATTATCAGTAGCTGCAGTGAACAAAGCTGGACATACCATTAAGTGAGCACCGTAATAGTGAGCTATGAAACGAAGAGTGCAGCAAATCCTCCTTCTTTGCTCCGAATCGAAGTTCTAGAAGAAATAAGAGTTATATTGTTACAGTTTTTCTTACTATTTATATAGCTGAGATGGCGTAGTGGCAAGTGCCGCACGATCACTCACGCATGGTCACAGGATCAAACTCAGATGGATATGCGCCGATCCATCAGCATTCCATACCCTCGGAATTGGTTAGTTGGTACCAGATCCCTAGGGGAGGATGAAAGCACTAACTTGTACACCGGGTGGCCGCCAATTCATTGTATTGGCCACATGAGCATTCAGTACTACGACTCCGAATGGAAGTGAGATGCGGGACGTATCCGTCAAGGGGCGATCGGTGAATGCTCAGAGAGTTTGAGGTTATCTTTGAGCTGAGAAACTGGGATTGCGACAATATTTTATTAAGCTGACGTTTTAATGCTCAGGGACTCTATCCTTCATCCTATATTCATACAGACAAACCGTCTCGAACCAATATATAAGGATATACCACTGCAGAGCTGTTCATTGGTCAATGAAGAGAATTACAGAAGTGGTTTGCTTGAAGGTTGAAGCGAGAAACGGATTTGAAGCCGTTAGTAAAACCAAACTTTNGGTGCCTATCTTTCATGATCTATAGTATTTTGTGTTAAAATAAGTGGTGGAACATGTTACCTGGAATTCATCGTACTTCGTGCCAACAATGACAAGTGGAATTGGAAACGGGGAGCACATTTTCGCATCTTCCTGAAAGCTTTCCTTTTATGCCTTTTTGGTTTTCACATCAAATACAGTTGAACTAACTTTATAGTCGAGCATCCTAGCTGTTAACCGGTTTTTAATCGCCATTTGTCCTCTGTCATCGAGATTTCTGATGGCTGCTTCGGCGTAGCGGGAAGCAGCAGACATAAGAGCTTCCATAGTGATCCACAGTTCGTAGGGGCGAGTCAGATCCAGCACAAGAACGACTGAAGTCGATCTGGAACGATTTGAGGGAAAGCTATAGGATATGTTGCGGATGCGAGATGTTAATGCCGAAAATTCCACAACAGTCCACATTTCTGTCAGTGCTTTCCGAAAATTTCGGTAGAAATGAGAAAAGGGACACCACCCACTTGTATGTGTGGAAAAAAAATCAGGAAATTTTATGATATCGCAATCGTTTGACCACATCGAGGTTCCTTCGATCTTCATGTTCCAGACTGTGAAGCGTTAAAGCGAGCAATACACGGAACCTCTAGGAGGGGCCTAAAGGGCACATGTTTGATACAACCTTTGCTGTGTTTCAGCAGCGGAGTGATTCAAGCTCGTAAAGAAGTATATTTGAATTGCGGTAAACAGTTCGATCGTTACGTGATTCTGTAAACAAGGAGGAGATTGCAGGCTATACTGCATATGCATAGATATGCGCACGGGTTGGGTCCTTACACAAATTTCATATAACCTTTCACAAAATCCAGTGAAAAATCGGAGTGTTGCAAAATATTCAGCAAATACTTTCTGCACAATTTAATGGTGACCTAACCAGTTGCCCTTACTCGATATTCTCTTTGACGAGAGGAACTGCGAGGAGTTGTGCAAGTTTAGTTCCGCTTGCAAGCTCCCAGATATGGCAGACGTCTTTGTTCTAAAATACGATTGGAAGGAAAGGGTACGGAATACGAATTCAAGTAGCCTTACTGACGTTTCCTCTTGTCCTTCGCGCATAAACGTACTCCAAAGCTATGGTCTCCTTGGCTTCTTCATTTTTGTCGAGAAATTTGTTTACAAGAGTAGATTTGCCCTGGAAAAGATGCATGTAGAATGAACTTCTTGGCACTAGGAATGGATAGGGTTGGATGAGGCTTACCGATTGCGAATTCCCGCAGATTAGGATATGGGTTGAACTTCTTTGCTGTGGCCCTTGACCTGAATGTTTCGACGTTTTAAAATCACGATATATTGTTTTTATTTGTTTCACTGTTTCACAACTGGTAACTGTTACGATTGATGTACGGACCAGACATTAATCGAAACAGTTACCACTTGAACCTCAACTAGCAATAGCCAGCTACTCCTGATTGATTGGTCAGGATCGTTATGTGCAAGATTTAAAGGCACCGTTTACGATAAATTTAAGGTACCCTTTTTTGACGGGAATTCCTAGAACTACTCTAGAATAAAGCGATA